ATAAATTACATTTATCATACAGTACAGTACCTAGTTGACCCGTGCAGAATGTAGTAGTAATGAAATTTAACGGACTTCAAAAAAGGAGGGGGTTTTCGACTGTATTTTTTTTTAAATAGTATCGGTCTGGAAATACCGCTGGCGACAACTGATTCCACAATTTGGTTATGCGTGGCAGCAAATTACGTGAAAAATACACAGGTTACTTTACTACAACCATCAAGGTGGTAGTGATGGTATTTGGCAGTTTGAAAATGTTGCCACACGAGCAGGCGGTTCACCTGATGTTAAGTGAATACCGCCGCCCATGGACATCTGCTACACCCGAGGCTTAGCAGATGCGTTGACAACCTTTTTGGAAATTGGGCTCCGGCTACCTCACTCAACAAACGAAACGCCAAAATATTTGTCATACTTCCACTTTACGCCGGTCTTCTGTGAGGTTGTGGTACTTACCCGGATGAGCCTGCCCATTGGTGCAACGGCCGAGCTGCTGCGTGGCTCTACCACCAATAAAGGTAGCAGCAGGTATTACTCTGAATACTCCTTCTGACAGATGCCATACACAAAGAGATGAAACATCTATAAGATACATTCTTTGTAAGAAGTTTTTAAACGAAAGTTTTTAATGAAAACCCCAACTTTATTCAAAGTGTATACTTTTCCTTAATAGTGGCAAACGTACACTGTAAAATGGTGTTTGAATCATCAAAGATGGAAGAATTAATGGCGTTGCGACAAAAAAACACATTTGCGAAATATTATATAGAGATTCTTAGGTAATAAAGGGTTGCTCTTGAGAATTCTTTACCGCAGAGAGAATATTTGAAGTAATTTCCTTTCAAAAAGAACGTGTCTTGTCTTTTAATCTTTATAGACTTTGTGCCTTAAATGCAGGAATATTGTTTCACCTTTCAAAGTTTATGAGTGAAATTATTATTAATGTAAATATTTGTATTAATTTCATGAATAATCAAATTCTGAGTAAGTTAAATTATAATACATACTTTAATTTCTTCCGGGTATGGAACTCTTTATTCCGATCTCTATAGTACAATCATAGCATATACAAACATTGGTTTGGTCGCTCCTGCAAGATTTGATTACGTGGAAAGCTGGAATGCTACCAGGATTGGGCTAGCGCGTAATCATCTAGATATGGCAATACCAGCGCTTTAAAAAAGGAGTATAACTCTGCCTCTAGGTCCTTCTTAAGTGTTATTGCTGAAGCAAAGTCGAAGCACATGGGCAGAATTGGCATTCATCGGAAACACGTGCGTTTTGGTCTCTCCCCAAGGCTGTCTTAAGAAATTTCTATCAGCTTTCTTTCTATCCCCACACACTGAGGATGAATCGTTGGCCAATGCTGCGAAGAAGAAAGCATATCTTCTGGCCCCTCTCTTCGTGGTCAACTCTGAAGCAAAGCAAAGATGGACAGAAACAGTTGAGACCAAGGGGGATGTACTTGCAGTCAGTCAGTCATAGCGAAGGCAAAGGCCAGCGATCGGGTATGGTCAAAATCTATTCTTTCAAAGCTACCTTATACCCTCCGGAGGAATTATGCACTAGCTTTTTGGTATATTGGAGCATCAAGATCGTCGTTGACAGTGCATTCTCTGATTCTAAATTTGTCAATTCTGGTGTTTCTCAAAGCTGTGTCCTGTCTCTTATAAAAATACGTATAATTATAATATATAATAATAATGTTTATCGATAAACTCAATACTTGTCAAGAACCTTAGGAAAATTAAGGAACATCAGTCGCTGACAAAATGCAATCGAATGAACAGTTACCTGTTGGTCACGCAAATACTTGTCTCGAGTTGGAATCGAACCCTTGACCTCCCGCACCGATTGTATTGCAACTGCGACAACCGAGTTACGTTTATTAACATATAGGCTTTGTTTCATCTCAATCGGGTCACTTAAACGAAAAATATGGGAGTTCTAAGATTAACGCAAACAGTTATCACAGTTATCCAACTATTGGACTAATTTTTATGGTGTTTTTAAAAGTATTCAAGATTAATTCTGTGCAACATTAAAGGTTTGTTTTATTGCAATTGGTACACTCAACGTTGTGGCACTCGGGGACTGAAGCGGTAAAGCTATTGCATAGCATTTTTTATCAACTTATGCAATTATAATGTATGTCTGTCTGTCCGTCTGTCTGTCTGTCTGTCCGTCAGTCACCAGGCTGTATCTCACGAACCATGATAGTTAGATTATCCGTTATTAGATTCCTTCGCCGCTATAACAACCAAACCAAAAAAGCAGAAAAAAATATTCAAGTGGGAATCCCATACAACAGACAAGGTTTTTTCCTTTTTTATGGATAATAGTACGGAATCCTTCGTGCTCGAGTCCTACTCGCAATGGGGCGGTTTTTTTAATGTACTGAATAGTAATTTAATTACCTTTACGATGATATTAACATTATTGCTGGGCATAATAATTCAAAGTGGGGTAATGATCCATACCATCGCCATCCTAAGAAATGATTGTATTATTGCAAAAATTTTATTGAATCTTTTTAGTGTAAGTATTGTATTGATGATAACTTTTATTTTTGTTATGATAACAAACGTTTCAATTTATAAAAAAACAACGTACTGTCATCATTAAGTCGTACAGCTGTAGACGATAGGTAATACAACATAATTATAGTTTACCGGTTTACGTCACCGTCAAAGCAACAACAAAAACAAAATACCTGTACTATACCTGTACAAAGGAAGCTTTCACCTCTTCTGGTCCTAACCGGTTAAAATGGCTAACGATGCGGCTTATGAAGAAAATCAAAGTAATAAATTGTTAAGCTCAGTCACCAGTACTAAAGTTTATTTTTTTTTTCTTACGGCGTTTTGACAATTTGTAACATTGGTTATAATAAAAATTCATGAGGTTGTTGCCGTAGGAACGTTGAGATCATTTGTACAGTCGTACCACCTTCAGTTTTAAATTTTGAACTTTTTTCCCAATCGTTGAAAATGCTTACGGTATTTAGAAGTATCGCTGTGACACCTGTACTAGAGTTTAAAATTATGTTGTGTTCGAAGGTGTTCATGTGCGAAAATGTTAGAACTATCATATCTGACCTTTAAAGCAGTAAAACAAATATTAGTCGATAAGCTATATACTCGTAAGGAACAACACCAACATTTTGCACTCACTGTTATAAGGAAAAATAAGCCAAACAATACATTTAGCTTACTCATGTGAGCGTGTTACTGAATCTAGCAGCTTGTGTGAGTTGGCTGGCACTGCCACAAACTGAGGCGACCGTCAGTCGCGTCTAGCCCGTATTAACCACTATTCAATATTCACTATCCTTCATACACGTCTTACATATTTCACTGATAATGTGTTGAATTCAGCTTAAGTACATTTATAAATACAAACTAAGGATTCGTGAATTTTATCTGAAAAGATCTTGATTTGATTCGCAATATAGTATTTTTTTATATTAAGAGAGATTTGTTTACGAATACAATTAACGAATAAAAAAATATCGCTTTAGTTAATGATTCCAAAACCTAAAAATGTATAAACTAAATAACTCGTGTCATATTATGCCATCATGTACGTAATGCTTTTACTTATTATTAATTTACAACTAAAGATGTTAGGAAATATATTGATATTTATCATAACGGATAAAATATTACATATTTATAAAACATTTACGTAAAGATCTTCGTTTGGTTAATACAATAATTTCATTTTAATTGTATGTAATTTAATTCTCTATATTTTCGAGTATATTCCTATTTACATTAACATTCTCGTTTACAATTAAAAAGATTTTAAGTAATTACTCTATTTCATTGGTATTGCACAATAATGAAATTACTAAATTGCTATTTCAAAATGTACGTTTCGTCAGTCATCATCAATTATATAACCAAGACACAATGAGGGACATTTTCAGGTACTATCGTTATTTTCCAATTAAAAAGAAATTTCATTCTTGCGCAATTTATTCTCAGGCAGCAAAATTTATTTAATTTAACACATGTGTTATTACGAGTAAGTGGGTAAAAAGGCATTTTGATACTCGGAATACACTTATTCCTTATACTGAATTCAAATAACAATGTACGTAGTTGTGTAAACGAATAGATATACGTGTGTATATGTGTTAACATAGAACAATACGCACATAAATTTGTACTTATTTGGGTCGGTTAGCATTAACAGTGGAAATATTCAAACATGGAAACATTTCCCATTTTCACGCGTATTTTCATTTCAATTAGCACAGAAAATAAAAATGTATCCTGTTTTAAATGTATAAGTTACTATTCATTAATAAAATATTAAACTACGGATTTATATAAAATATAAAAGTATTATTGACTACTACTACGATAGTTTTTTAAGGATTTTAAAAATACAGTAGCAACTCTCCCGACAGTTTAAGATTGATAACAACTATTCTGAGATTTTTGAGCGAATGATAACATTGCTTATCCAATATTACTTAACCAATCACTAAGTAAAACGCGTTTAATATAAAATACTAAAAATATGAATGAATTTCACTTCATTAACAATCGTTGAGAGAACTTAAGCTCGTCGCTTCGCTGTGGTACTACTTCAAATGTTGATCAGACAGCAATGTTTGCTTTTATGTGAATGAGGCCGTTTATCATAATGTATTTGCGTAACGAAACCTTTCTGTTGTTTCTTATATTTGTAGGGAGTTTTATTTACAAACATTATTTCGTGTTTTCAGTGTGGCATATCTAAATTTTACTCGTTGTTTTGATACAAACCTTAAAAGAATTGTAAATATAATCTTATACAGCAGAATTATCTCATCTCAAATCTCGATCTGGTGACGAAATGTGTTTAGTTAATTTACCAGAATTAAGGAGGCTGTGGAATTATTAGACGACCTAAGCCAATATTCCTTCGTTGCAGACACTTATGCTTTCCTGTGAGGCATTTTTTTATCGACCCCCGAGATCGCAGCGTCTTTGAACCAGCGTTTCGAGATGCGGGGCCGCTCACCTGAGCAGCCGTCGACGTATCTCGTTCCTCCGCCCACTTGTGGCGGTTGCGTATCTGGTAAGGCGGCGCTCACGGAACGTCCGCATTTCTTGCACTTTCATGCTGTACCATCATAAGGCACCACAACACGAGTCAGCGCGGCGCGCGAGTGGCATAGTAAGGTAGCGGCACGCGGCGTAGCAAGGGCGTAGCGCGGTGCCGCGCGGCTCTACTGCCGGCCGCCGTCCGCGCGCTACGGGCGCGGCGCCGCACGCAGGCGCGCTACGACTCACGTAGCCCCCCGTCCTGAACCTCTACCCGCGCCTCCCGCCCTCTCGCATCCCGCTACTCCCTACTCTCTACTTAGATATTATCAATAAAATTATTGTACGACATGAACTCGTCCAAGAGCCGCAGCCTGTCAAATATTCCGTATAACGACCGTGAAATCGAGTGGCTTACTTCCGGACAACGCGATCTCGAAGTCGAAACGAGAACTCAGATCGAACTTTTCTCAATCAATGAAGTAACTTAAAGCAAAGCAAAAATTTATCTCGTAAGACGTGATGTAATTTACGAAGCCGGCCACGGTGTTATCAAACTGTTCGTTGTTTTTTTCTGCTGTATAGTTTTCTTTTGATCACAAATGAACGGATTAACTTTTTAATATCACACTGACTAAAGTTTTGTATATTGTATTGTTTTTTTTATTGAACATCCCTTTGTATATAAATTGTTACGTGAATTAGTGATTCTTTGCAACATTACCAAAATTATTTTATTAGGAGCGGTCCAAATCTTGCCTAAAAACTATTATAATAATGGTCGAGAATAAAGTCTTAAAAATTACTTTTTATTCAAATACTTATGAACAATTCCAAGTACTAAATACTGTAAAAAAAGTCAGTTATCATTATTTATTATTTTTTATGTGCGAAAATCAAAACGAAATTTTTATTTAAGAATTTTAATTTTTTCATTACTTTTAAGTTTTTGTTTACTACGTATTTTATTTGTTTCGTAACGAAATCGAAATATTAACGAAATCAGAGCTATAACTAGAATCATTTTCAAATTAGGTAGTTTCAATTAGGTTCACGCAATTAATCAAAGAAAAGACATCGTATAGAGAATAGCTACTAAAATTGAGCCTTTCAATTTTATTGCCCGAAAGTATTCTTTAGCAAAATATAATTCCACCTAGATGTCACTTATCTCATAAAAAAAAAGTAAAGTATCAGCCTATACATGTCCCACTGCTGGTCAAAGGCCTCCCCTATACAGATGGTATCAGGGCATAGTCCACCACGCGGCCCCACTGCAGATTGGCGGACTTCACATCTCTATTTCGAAAATATGCAGGTTTTCCTCACGATGTTTTCCTTCACCGCGGAACACGTGACACAGCACTCAAAGTTAAAATTTCATTGGTGCCGGCACCGGGGATCGAACTCAGGTTGCCGAGTATATTGAAATAAAAGCGAGCGCCCGGACACTGAGCTATCACGGCTCTTGTCACTTGTCTGATAATGCTACATAATACTAAACTACTGTATGTGTCGCTTGTCTCATAACCTGATGCGTTGCCCTATACATCAGCACCTAATTTACATCTTTACTTAATTTTAGTAACAATAAAATATATTTTTTGCGCTAAACATCAGTTACAATATTCTCGAATATTAATGAATTAATATATTATTATCAAACAACGCCTTTCTGTCCAACGAACTTCTAACGATACCCAAGCGGCTAGGTAGGCTTGGGTTACAACGTTTAGCTGATTAGACTATATTAAAATATTACCTAACCTTTTTTAACAAGCATCGCTTTCGTGAGCAAGTAAGTTAAGCTTATATTTGATATATTTTTATATGTTTTCTGATAACTTACAGCTAGAGCAGTTTTCGTGTGAACAAATTTAACAAAAATAGGGGCAATTAAAAGTTTTCACTATGCATCAGCATGATATCGCATATCCCAGAAACTTCATACATATTCGTGTTACATATTCTTAGAGACATTATAACTTGTAGTGAATGTGCACACGAACGAGTACAAACTTGGTAGACACAGTATTGAAGTCTTACATAAGTATATTAAAAAGAGCCGGCGACAGTGCAGCACAGTTGGTCCATTCGAATGTTTTGTATATTTGTAGTTATACTTGTATAGTTGAAAGCAACTTTATAATGTCGCCAATCTCTTGATTCATAACCCGCACGGAACCGAAACATTCGTTTTTAACAAGTACATGTTTAAACTTCAAGAAACAGTTATAAAGTTTATGCATTTTGTCATTTCAAACATTAAAATGGATTTCAACTTTTATTTGAAGAATCTGTTTCGATTTCCGTAAGTTTTATTAGCATGGAAAGTTGTTTTTTTTTTGTAAACATGAAATGTTACGATAGCTGATTGAAATGAAAGGAAGAAACAAGACTACGATAAGACGTACATAGCGGAAATTGTATTTTTTGATCTTTTTGTTTTATTAATTATCCTTACCATAGAAAAAAATAATCCTCTGTTGTATTAGCGAACAAAAGTACGAATTATCGAACACATCGTAAGTCATACAGATAGTGGCCCCGCGTGAGAATTGAACTCATGACTAGCCGCACCGAAATTTATCTCAACCAAGTTAATTTTCGACGTAATTATCTAAATGGCTATTAATGACAGTCTAAAATTATAATTACGGATCATTCAATATCTTATTCAATCATTATCTTAATATTTCGTTTGCAGTTTACAGCTATAGAATCTAGATTATGAAACCATACTCAGACTTCCTTACTCAAAGAGTAATCATGCGATGTCATGCACATACGTCGTTACTTCTTAGTTTATTTATCGGTCCTCATACATTGAAAAAGAGCGGTTTTATCCAACGTGCCTCGGTGTATAATGATTGATTAGTTAATAAATATCTATCGGTTAGTACGCTATGGCCAATGATTTGAAGTAAATAAATAACAAATATATTAGGTACATATATTATATATTCAAAACTTGGGACAATAACGTCGTACCTTGATAGGTTTTCGTCGCGCTACTCGAACGGTGCGGTCGCTCGGTGGGTACTCGAATTATAAAAGCTATGAAATATTAATTCTGCATGAACAAAATTGTATAACGATCTGTTTTATTTATGAATGTTGCAAGTTATGCCAGCCCGCTATTGGATGTACGTAGGTATGCTGCGTGACGATTAGCGCCTGGCAACAATCCAGTTAAGAGACGGGCCTTCGTTGTGACGCTGTTCCGTCTCCGCAATAACTAGTGAATGCCACATGACAATAACTCATTTCTGTACCCGCGTTCCGCAGCATTGACTGATTCAAGCGCAAATAGAACTAGCGCAGCGATTTTCAGACTTATTTTTCTTGGAGTACACGACACACGATTGAAAATAGTTAGTATTGTATATATGTTATATATATTAATTTAAATAATTCAAAATTTATAATAAATGTAAAAAGAAAATGCAAAGAAATATTATAAATATTTCAGAACCAATATCTAAACACCAGTTGATTTTATAGAAATATATTTAGTATCGACTGAGCCAAGGAGATATTTCGGTAAGAGAGTTCTCATACTTCAAAACATATGAAACCATTAACACTGTTGCATATTTGAGTAAGAAAATTTGCTTTTGATTATATCCAACATAGTCACTAAAAATGTTTATTCATACAAAACATGTTGGTTCATCGGACGGATAAAATTGAAAAAAATATTTCTGCCCACGTCGTTCTCGTCTGTTATTAAACATCTAAAACTCATCAGAATTGGCCTTAATTGTTTACTCATTTCGGTCCCCTGAGCAACTAAGGAAATTGATTGTCCGACGCCTACTGAGCCCTAGTAACGCGGAAAAGCAAAAGTTAATTTGCACACAACATTAATTTACACGAAACACATAGTCTTAGGTAAATAGTAACATAAACATTCAATAACATTTTATAATGAATTTGTATTATCTCGTTCAAGTAAAATATGTCTAACTTAAAATTAGTATAAAGTTATGTCATGAAATAAATATGTGAACATTTCGTAGGTCTTCTATTGTTTTTTATGAACCGCAACATGTATAAAGGTTACGCAATAGAAAACGAAAAGCAAAGGCGATTAAAAGCCATTATCGTGAGTCGGTATTCTTGGTTGGACTTTGTGAGGAAATCTTTCTTTTACTGAATAAATTGGGCCTTTTATTTGTACGAATAACTTTCAAGGTTTACGAATTCTTATAATATTGAACAAAAAAAGTGACGAAAAAAGCAGGGTCATGGGAATAAAAGTGAATTAATATTCATAAAGCTTTTTTTTGTTGGGGTGCAGAACAAGTATCAACAAGGGGAGGCTTTTACCACGCTGTGGGACATCTTCACAAAACTTTTAGTTCCCTAGTTTAGTAGGGTCTCTGTCAATAGAGATAAGCAGCCTCCCAAGCCAACGCTCACCCAAACTCCTCAACTGCTTGGCAAAATAATACAAATGCATCATTCTTAAAGGCTTTAAGGACTATGTTTACTTTCAGGAACTTACTCCTTAGGATAGGATATATTTCGCTTGACGGAAAACATCCTGAATGATTTCTACCACCCCAAATGTAACCGATAGTGCTATTGTTCGGTGTTGCAAAGTATTGATCAAGGTCTGGTACAACAACTTGTTGAACAACAAGCAAGCTGTTTGAACTCAACACGCCGCACAGGCTCATGCGCACCATTCGAAATTTCCGGTCAAGCCTTTTCGATACTGAGTAAAGAGATCTAGTCTCCTCGTCAAGGCGGAAGCGTTCTTCAACGCTCATGCCTCTCACCCTAATTCTTTTCACGACTCAATCTCGCTTTATCGCCGAAGTGAGTAGCCCTCTTCTGTTCGGGAAACGAAATTGGCCGAAAGAAAAACGAAAGTGATTGATTTCGTGAATCGCATTTAACCCCTTATCGACTTTCAGACCGAAAAGTGCTTCCCGATACACTTTTCTTCGGCACACCCTAGCTAATCCCAAGCTCACCACAACTGGTAGTTGAAGATTTTTTTTTATTTCAATAGAAAAAAATAAAATAAAACGGAGTATCGCAATTCTGAGTTTACTATCGGAAAAGGTCAGTGGCGTGGCAAATCAAATGCTATTACAAACCGAGTTTTGGAGGAACAAAGAAAGTTATCGCATTTATCAATACCGCCCAAATGCTACCCGAAGAGATTTCTGCAAAAATTGCACCATTCAATTTCTATCCAGAATGTATTCAGCCTACAAAATATTAAGTGATAAATCTCACAAGCTTCCTC